TATCTGTCGCTTGACTGGAATGGATGGACCCAGAAGAGTGTCTTCCTGAAGACGAGGGCGTTTCGCGCCATCCTCCATGTGACGGGCTAAGCGCCATCCTCCCAAGTGCATCGTGTCAGGGTCCGATGAGTCCGAGCGGGCTCCCAACATGGTTTGAAGGACTTGGGAGGAGCAAAATCACCTGAAAGAAGCAAAGAACCCATACGAAACCTAGTGGCCGAGGCTTGTTGTTGAAGCTTCCACAGCCACAGAACCCTGGATTGACGGAACATTTGTGAGAGATCATGTCTAGCAGAGTTCAAGGCCAGTCAGCAAGTGTCAGATCTCCTGGTTTCCCCTTGGGGGATCTGGGGCAACAATCACTCCCTCCAATGTCCTAAAATTACTATGGAGATGGTGAATGGGGACCATTGGGGCCACTGGGCTGGCAGTGGTGGTTGTCGTCCTCCACACAAACGGACCGTCTCAACATGCGTTGCTTCCCCGTGCCTTCTCGATCTCTGCGCCATCTTCCAAAGTCCTGTCTCCAAGCACCAACTGCCCGCGTCGAGCCCGCAGGTGTCCCCTTTCCACGATCATGGCCCGTGCATCTGCCACCCGACTCGACAAGGGCACCGCGAGAGTGACCGGTTCTCCAGAGAGGGTGACCTAGGCGGCCGAAACAGGCGGCCGGTGGAAATCCTGCGTTCATGGCCAAGGTGTTTCCATATCTGATGGCCCCATGTGCTTGCTTGAGCATGCAGGTAGGTGGTGGACATGTTGGCATCCAATAATGTAAACATGCAGTCAGTCCAAAACGCCTAACATACTCAGTTGCACGAGAGGATCCTTACATGCATGCTTGCTTGCTTATATAGTGAATTGTCACATTCCCTGGAACTAACATGGAAGTGGACAATGCCCCCTTGGAAGGCAATTTTCCTCTACAAACAGTGGGTTGTCCACTTGCATGTCATTTCCAGGGAGAGCAAATGAAACATCATGAAACGTGTTTGCGCCTCCAAGTGAGTGGATGAACTTGGAACCACAAAACGACTTTCACTAGATTTAGAACCACGTGTTTGGGAAGGCTGGCATGCACAAGTGATGCAGCCCCATATTGACGGCATGGTAAGTTCATGGATTCTTCCTCTAGCTCCGAATGCAGGGTTCCACCTAAACCGGCATACTCGGGCATACTCAGTCATACGTGCAAGTTATGGCATGGCTGGGGGTGTGAAACACCTTTTGTTCACAATATGATTCCTATGCTTGCCAATGATGACGGTATGACCCAACAAACAAATCAAAAGAGGTTGGAATCCTACGTTCAGCCATTGAATTGAGTGTCAAAATGCACCAAACAGCCAAACTCCCTAAATTCCATTCAAGTCGCGACAGTGACCGTCGACCGAGTAGCTGCTTCCATGGCATCGGAGGCTCTCCATGGTTCACTGACATGTTGCCTCTCCTGACCACCTCTGTGCAGTGACGATAAATCCATTGTAAATAACAAGAGCGATGCTCCTAATTGCTGGCAATCAATGCAGCCCGTTTCTGAAAATTTGTGCACTTGAAGGATCCGTGTAGACTTGGTCTGAATGCTGATTCAGTGAGTGTATTTTGCGGTTGACCATCGAAATTAGCCTTCAAGTCCACCAAGGTTGACAACAGGGGTTCCCAGTCGCCTGGCAGGAGACTTTACAAACATTTGCTTCAAGTTGCACATACCGCACCTTTAAACTTGTTTTTTTATCAAACCATATTGAACCTTTATGTGAGAACCTTTGAGGAAACCCACACGTCCACTTCAGTCGGAAAAAAAACACAGCTGCAGCTCTGGTGTCGCAGCTGTTGGACCCTTCGGCCGGGCTCCGTCCACCCCGCCTGACCACCACGCGGAAGCTCCCAGGCAGTCTCTCCTGAGAGGAGCAGCGGTCTCTCGGCTTCCACGAGCGGTGCGCTTCGCGGAAAAAGCGAAGACAAGTGGGAAAGCTATGTGTCTGAACAGTCAGAACATGCTTTTAAAGTGCTTTAAAAGCTATATATATATATAGATACACATGCATATAGAGATCCAATATGTACATTCATATTCACATCATATTCATATGATTCATATATGTATAGTATTGTAGAATGAGAACCATATCGACTTGATAGACTTGTGAAGTCTGGTTGTCCTCTCTATTTGGACACTGGCATGCAGTGTATGATACTGTATGTCATCCGTTTGTATCCATCTGTCTCTTTTTGATCCAGTTCTGTGGGACCCCATCCTGTCTCAACGTTGTAATAGTAGACCTGGCCATCTTCGGTGTTCACAGGGCTCCAGTAGGACACTGGGAAAGCCTTGGAGACGGAGCGGAGTGGGACTTCTGGAACTAAATGCTTTGGGAGATCAGTGTGCTGGCGTTGTCATGGCGCTGCGTCTCCCGCAAAGATCGTCAGTTCTCCTCCATGTCCTTGCTTATCGGCTTATCATGTAGGCTGTTGATTTCATGAACCCACGGAGACGTTAAGATGTAAAACCAATGTAAAAGCGATTCTGGAGACGGCGTTGATTCATCAGTCGGACGCAGCGATCTCCACGGACGCAGCGATTCTCCTTCCCTCTCCCTCCGTCGCCTGCTGCACGCGCCGTCGCAGGTCTTCATTGGGCACCAGCTGAATCCCCTGCCATGCGATGGCCATCTAACTTGACTAGGGTCAGGGTATGACGTCTACAGTCTACATCTCTCTATATATATATATATCTGTGTGTGTGTGTGACTGTGTGTGTGGGTGTTCTTGCCGCACCTGCAAGCGGTTTTGGGTCGGCTTGAAGAACCATCGAATCAATGGGTCTGCAAGCGAAGCGCATTGCCTATCACTCCTGTCACTATATTACATATTTAATTAATTACTATATATGAGAACGTCCCCACCCACAATTTGAGCCATGGGCCCCATAGAGGCCCGTGCCATGATTTTCAGACTGATCACCCTGCCACTGGATCGTGGGTCGGCCCGCCGAGGCGCGCCTTTTTCCCCAGCAGCCCGAGCCTGGAGCCTTCGTGTGAAACGGGCGATGTGAAGCTCTTCAAACGATCGTCACCCTGGAGTGGCCTATAGAGGAGAGAACCGTTCAGCGGCCATCTGCTCACAGGTGTTGTGGGATCTTTTGAAACGGTGGTTTATGTATATATTAAAATATTATATATATATATAGTATAAGCCCACTGACGAGACAAAAGGCAGAATGGCATTTGCCCGGGCACCCTGAAAATTCATTGCCCATTAGCAAAGTTGATTAGTATGTATGTATTGTGAGTGTGTGATTTGCCCCCTGGAAAAGCATAGTGGCAAAAACTACACTGTTTTGGTAGGCAAAATACAAAAGCCTTCTTCCCCCTGTCCTCATGCTTCAATTATGTATCACTTGATAGTTTCTGCGCTGCCGAAGATATATTTTATAAATGTTCAGGGTTCGGATGTAATTTGTATATGGCATGTATTTATTTGTATTTCTTTAGTCTAATTTAAATATGTGTAATATATGTGAGTATACATCTGCTGTTTCACATAGTTCCAAAAAATCGCAGTACATCAAAATCACACAACACAAACAAAGGATGGTTTTAGTTTGCAAGGGTCTAGGTTTAGTTTTTAACAGGGGAGTCTAAACTGAAGAAGACGAAGATCGGCCACGAGTTTCATACACACAAGGAAACATCGTTTTTAGAAACACAGTGTAGATTCAACATGATGGTAATTAGAACTGGACGTGTAGTTGAAACGGACATCACATGGATTTCAACATATGTCACGCATATTGTTCATCCACATGCCTCCAAAGTCAGGCCTGACCTTATTGGCTGAGTGGAAGGGGAAGTGTTGATCCGCTGTTGGCATTCTTCCAGGATGACTTTACTCGGACGACTGTACAAAACTGCTCAATAGTACTGCTGCGGAAGTTGCCCTTCGGCAAACCCCCTCTACAGTGCAACTGCTGCAGCTTCCGGCTCCAACTCGTCCGGATCAAGGGATCGCTTCAGTCGTGTGGGTTGTATGCCACAACAGGACGAATATTCTCTAAGAATTATGTGCACATCCCGCACATATCTTAAGATCTCCCAAGAAAAGCACAAAAGCTGCTCCCATGTCATCAACCCAAAAGCTGCTCCCATCTCCTAAGTACAAGGGCTTCGAGGTGATCCCAACCCAAGAGGACCCCCATGTGAAAGAGTGCTTCTGACCATTTGGCAATGAAACCTGGCCCTGTCATTGTAGCTCACACTCAGTTAGCTTCGTATCAGCTTACCCCCACGAATGGTCCAAGAGCCCTTGACACGTTTTGATCCATTCTGATGGTTTGAACGTCAGGGACCCGTTTCTGGACCGCCAAACATTCAACATCTCAATCATTCTGAGCCCCATTCCTGGACCTAACTGGGCTTGGATGATGTGCAGCTGGGACCGCTTGGAAGCTCCAGCAGGTGGGATGTTCAGACTTTCCTGTGAAAGCTGCGGTCACTCTGCCAGGACCATGAACATTGAATTACAGTACAAACCTAAAGAGAAAAAAACAATGGTCCAACCTCTCTTTAGATGCACAAAACAATAGCTAGCAATTGGCCCATGCAAAATCGCTACGTCGACTTCACACACTGTATCCATGCTCTGGCAAAGCAAGCTCAGTTGCTCCTGAAGACCAACATGGACCACCAAATCCAAGTCAAAGCACCAAAAATCCTCACGATGGGCCAAAAACCGGGTCCATGTTAGCCTGCGTTGGCACTGGGAGATAGATGCGAATCACAGCTTGGCCGGATCGCAGGTGCCACGGAGATCGGCGTGGAGCTGCGTGGACTCCCAACGGATTGGCGCGTCAAGCCCTATCAGGCCACAGCACATGGAAACTGCATCATTTGTGTAGTGGAATCGGATCAAGCATGATATATAAAGCCCTATCATGTAGTACTGTCATGTAGTATCACGAGCCTTCACTCTGCTCGAAGCACTATCGATGTTGGAGACGCCCTTGGCCCTAAAGTGGCACACGTGCCTGGCCTTCTGACAGTGTGTCACATCAGCCAACCCGTTGGCAATCCAACCTGGAAAAATTATCGAGGTCGCCTACACCTCGAGAAATGATGCGTGTTGATCAAACTGTTTGAAATGCTTGAAACATGGACTATGTTTAAACAATGCCTCAAATGCCTCAATCCTTCTCCCTGATCCTTCCCCACGGGCGAGGTCGTGGGTTGCACCTGTCACTGAAGCTGGCAGCCAGCATGGTCACAGCAACTGTGATTTCCCAGGGGCTTCCCCTCATCATCCTGATCTGCAATCTTCACTTGTGATGCCGTGAGCATCCCCTCCGCTTCCTTGGCCGTGTTGGGGCTCTGACGCCCTCCTTGGTCGGGGAATGGCACATCATCAGGAAACTGGAAAGAAACAAATCAAACAGGAAAACGGAAAACTTCCTTGGCACTGCTTGGCAAAAAATGAATGCCATGTCAAAAGGAGCGACAAATTTGGACAACATAGTAACATAGTTTATTTAAAACGGGCCATGCTAACAACATGACGTAAGAACGTGGACTAGTCAACTGCTCAGTGGAAGAACTCCAGGCGTCCCAAATTGTTCTGAGACAGATTCTTGGACCGAACGGTCTTGCTGGATGTGCGACCCTCTTCTGCCTCTTGCTTGTGATGCTTCCCCCTCTCTGTGTCAATCACACGTGCAGCAGCATCAGCATAGTGTGGCTCAACAGCCCCATGAGCACCCTGCGGGCTGGCATTTTTAGGCTGAACATCCTGTGAGACTTGCACAAAGATTTCAAACATCAACCACTGCGTTCTCCCTCTTACGAAAAGATCCTTCAACCCTCTCTGATTTGCTAGATGTTTGTTTGGGGCCAGGTGCTCGCATCGCCGAGTGGTCAAAATGCTTTCGCAACGCACAAAAACGCGCCTTCAAGTACTCAAGCCATTCGTCGTAAGAGATGGCACCATCATTCTTCAGGTTGAGCTCACTCAAGAGGCTCTGCACCTCATTGCCCTCGAAGGTCTGCCCTAAGACTTCTCGAAGGTTCTCCACGGTGATGAAGCCCGAGTTGTCGACATCAAAGCGACGAAAGGCCACCTGCAAGGTATGATCGTGCAAGTGAATCCTGGACGCCACCATCGCAGCTAAGAACTCATGATAGTGCACTTCATCTTTGTGACTGGCATCCAGTGCTTTGAAGGCCTTCTCCAAGGTCTCATCATCAATTTGGAGATTTTGCTCCACGGCCTGCTTGAACTCGTTGATCGTGATCGTGCCACTGCGATCCTTGTCGATCTGCAGGAAGGCATCCCTCACCTGCTTTCGTTCTTCGACCCCCAAGGACCAGCTGAGCATGTTGAGGCAAGCGCGCTTGAAGACTGAGACCTGCACAAGAAGAATCGAAACTCCCATCATACCCTTTTGAGAGCAAATCCCATGCGCCTGAGCTGCCTAACATAGTTCTAGCTCCGTAAAATCGAATTCCGGGCCACATTCTTCGACCTATTCCGTATGTCGACATGTAGAACTATGATGAACTATGCACAAATCATGGAAACACTGTCAGCCCCCCAAAAGGGCCAACGTACAAAATGCCCTGGAAGCGACCCACATGGACCCTGAAAACCACGTCGGTGTGTAAAGGAAAACCATCGGACGACCCGGGTGCCATTCGACCTGGGTCCATGTGAGTTTTCCTAAGTGCAATCCAAAGCTGCCTTGGCAAAGTTGCACAAGTCTTCGACCATGGTCTGATCAATGACATGCTGGTGATCCTGTGCCTTGAGCCAGGGATGTTCCACAGCTTCAGCTGCGGTCAGCCTCTTATTGGGGTTGACCACCAACAACTTCTGAACAAAGTCCTTGCAGGTGTGCGAGGCTTTACCCCAAATGGCTGGCTTTTTGGTGAAGTTCCCCTCCTTGATGTCGTGAATTTGCTTGGTTTCCTTGAGTTGCTTCGTGCGTGATGCAGAAACTTTCTTTCGCGCGAGGTCACAACATCAAACTTTTTGGGTGGAGCCGCTTCTGGCTGTCGAAGCTGAAACAAGTTGGTAAAATCGCGAAAAAAGAGTCACCAGCTAAGGTGTTCCTCTTTTAGTGGGTCTTGAAAATGAGAGACCTCCAAATAGTTTTCATAATACAAATCAACCGGGATCTCCAAAAACTTCGAGGCCCACCGCTTTCGGTCAAAGCAAGCATCAGGGCCGGAGAAAGGCATGTAGCCAAAGAGAAGGATGAAGGCGACCACACCCAAACTCCACCTTATTTCAGCCGATGGTCGCGCGTCTTCTTCCACCTCTAGGGTGATTAGATATGTATAGTTCGTATAGTTATACTGTAGAGATAATGCAGGACACCAAGCAAAGCTTAAGACTTGAGATGACTTGAGAGCATTTGGAAAATCAAGTTCTCGTCCCCTACGAGAAATAGCTACCACCCGCAAATCAGTTCGTGCCCGCCAAGTGAGCCACAAATCACATTGCGAGGTATAGGACTTTTCCAGGACCTCCGGTGCCACATAGGCCAGTGTGCCACAGCTCACAGCCATAGTCGTATTGGGCTGCCAGATCTTGCTAAAACCGAAGTCAATCAACTTCAAATGATCGGAATCTTGGGCCTCATACAAGAAGTTCTCCAATTTAATATCCCGATGCACCACATCATGTGAGTGGATGTAATTCACCGCCAGCAACATCTGATAAACTGCCTTGGCCGCATCCTTCTCCGTAAATCGCTTCCGCTTCACGACACGATCGAAGAGCTCACCTCCAAGCATGCACTCCATGACCAGGTAAAGTTGATCTTCGGACTCGTAGACGTCGGTCAAGGAAGCCACATGAGGGTGGTCCATGCCCAGAAAAATCTCTGCTTCACTTTCCAGCTCCTGGAAACGCGCGTTTCAGGTCTAGTCTAGAAAACGCCAGGGTCGGGTCTATAGAGTCTAAAGAAAGCTGGGAGCAGTAAAAAAGATGCACCAGGCCAAATTGAGACCTCTTGCAAAGTTGGTGGTTCATTACCTCAATCACATGGCCATGGTTTGGATAAACCATAACACCCAGGAGGCTACATAGATCACTGGTCCATTTCCACGTCTCCGCGTCAACTGGATTTTAGGTGATTGAGCCAAGATCTGGATATAAGCACTGTCCTTGCGTTTCTCCTTGCTGACCCCTCGCAACTTGAATGCTTTGACGGCAAACTTGGCCCCAGTGGTCTTGCATCTGGCCAGCTTCACCTCACCATTGTAGCCAGACCCCAGGACTTGCGGAAGGCTTTCCTGGGACTTGGCAGGACCGATCACTCTGCAAAGGACCCCAACTAACACGATTCTGGAAAATTTGTTTCTTGACACATTCCCGAACAGTTTGGAAGTTTGAAACCCATCAGCAGGATCTTCAATGAACAAGCATTCAACCTGGTCTCATAATCATCTTCCATCCGCTTGGGTAGTCGGTGATAGCGCCCAGTGATGTTGAGCCGGCCACTCCGCTCCACTGCCCGCACGGTCACCTGAGTCAAGCCATCCGGCGCCTCATCTTCCTGCGGGCGGTTTCGGTGTGAGGTGAAGCTAGACCGCCACCCCATACCCAAAGAGTCCATGGGACTTGAATACATAATACATACTATAGTCATATACATGCATATATACATATACATAGGCATTATATATATATATATCATATTACAGTATGTATTATGTATACATATAGTATTACATATATCATATCATATATTAAGTATACACAACTAGTGTTACAATATCATATTATATTATACATATATCCATATAGTATTGCAATAATCATATCTATTACACTCCCCAAATCCAACGTATCCCTGGCAGCACTGAGGACCCCAACTAACATATCCAACCGTCTTCGGTGTTTCCCGGGGAATTGCATACAACTTTTGCTCTGAGGAGGATTTGCATATTATATCCCTGCGGACTGTTGCTCATATATACTCCAAAAAACATCAACTTTAGGGGGGAACGTTGGATTTGGAGAGAGTATATGTAGAAATTGTGCAAGTTTGTGTGTGACACTCCTTTTCAACCAATTTTTAGGGATATATAAGTTGCTAGTGTTTGGACATTTTTTCATGTGTTATCAACATGTTCATCTTCAAGCAAAACACGAAGGGCTCGTTTTGCATTGGGCATGTTGTGTGCCCAGAAGGTCCATAACTGGTCCAGTCCAAACACAATCGGCCGGCCGGATTGTGTTTGTATGATTTTGTATGTGTGCTGCTACAGCTATAGCAGGTTTCTGGAGTTCGAAAAGAACACCACCTCGAAAGAAGATGTTCTCCGCATCTTCCTTGTCGACACGGATCTTAGGAGGTTTCCGACTCTCAATATGCAAGGCCGACTTGATGTGCGTTTGCCCCATGGCACCAAGGCTTGCCAAGCAGCAAGCGTCTCCCTCCAGAGCGGGGGGGGTTTTGGGAAGGAAAGACCGGGCGTTCTGAGTGTTCACATTGAAATGGGCCCAAGGATTTCAGTTCAAGGGCCTGCATGTGGAAGCAGTCTCATGTCGCCAATCTGAGTTTTGCTAAGTTCTCACGCACATGTCTAGCTGTTCGAGCCAACAGGTTGCGACAAATCCTGAGAATGGCAAACTGAAGGAAAGCTTTTGGACTGTCGGAATGTCCCGTCTCACTTTCTATTGTTCTATAGTGTTTCTCTACTTTATTATACTTTTTTGGTGTCTTATTTTTCTCTCACTGTGTCCCTCTCTCTCCGTCTCCCTCCCTCTCTGTCTCCCCCCAAATCTACTCAACATCATCACTTGTGCAGTCGGCAGGCACCTCATCGATTGTTCAACCCCAGAAAATAACAACTCAACACACGACAAAACAAGCATAGAAAGCTGCTTGTCGGCACATCAGCTGCCACCTTGGACTTGTAGTTTGTTGAGTGGCCATGTTCAAACCAAGGTTCTTGAGCGCAGGATGACCATTGTTCGGGTGAGTCCCACTCTCGGTTTGAAGAAGGAGCACGTCACGATGGCACCTTTTTATGACGTTCACCGTATGCTGCGACAACCGTGGTCCCAAACCGCCGCGCACCGAAGTGTGGTGTCCCGTTGTTCCAAAAAATAAAGAAAAACAACGAGTCGGATGAAACCGGATTGGTCGAACAAAACTACCAGGATATATCAATGGAGCACATGTGGTCACAGCATGTGTTCAACGGAACCCACGAACTGCGAACTGAACAAGAGGTGGTTGGATGTTTCTTTTTTTTTGTGGGGGGGCGGTGGCACAAGTGTAAACGTGCTCAAACTCGTGGCTTAGCATCCAATGTGCTCCTATTATATTCACCTCTTGAAGAATTGATGAGGGCCTATAAATAAGGGTCTAAGTACCTCGGGTTGGGCCTTCGGAAGGTCAAGAGCAAGGCCACACTTCAGCAAACAAACTCAAAGAACACCGACCAGCCACGTGCGCTGGTCGGACGTGCGAAGCTTTGTAACATGGCTTCATGGCTGGTCTGTGGCTCAAGTCATGGACCTCCACGTGGTCTGTGTAATAGCGCTAGACAATATTAGGTGGAATTTTAATGCCTTACCAGGACCATGAGTCCACAAGTGAATGGATGTCAGACCTGGATTCTCATGTGAACAAATGGTCCGACTGGGCGTGCTGATGTTTGCTGAACTTACTAATCTATTCCAAAGCGAAATGTACCTATGGCTGATCCTCCAAAGGGACCTGCATCCATGTATGAACCCAATCCAGTCCGGGCTGGGAAGGATGCAAACCGGTATTTCTCAAGGATATATACATCAAAAGACCAACCAAACATAGCTTTGCAGCGCTCAGGTGCCATTCTTGCGCACTCGTGTGATTGGATCTTCATCTCCAGTCCTCCGGTAGAGCCACCAAAATCAGGTTCTGCCCTTCGGCAACCATCTGCTAGCAAGCACTGCTGCAATCCGCTCAACATCGAGGGAGGAACTCCGCATATTAATCAATAATGCATAATACACAGAACCGGAGTGACCTATTTTTTAGACCGACAGTCACGAGGCCCTTTCTTACCAAAACAGCGGTTAAATGCGTTTTAGGTACATGCGTTTGCATAGACAGATGCAACAATAATACATCTATATATGTGTGTGTGAATGTCTCTCCCTATCATCTTGGTGTGCGAAACAAAGGTATGACAATTTCTTATGCAAGTCTTGGGGTAGAGTAATGTCTTGTCTTGTACACCCTCAAACTAATGCTCCCACTTCTGGGATTTGCGAGGTCTCCCATTTCTCAACCTTGAATCGTGCATTTTCCCACCATGTCACACCAATGTCTCTGCTTCCATCAGTGGGTGGATGTGAAGACATGGGCACCCAGAAAGATCGACTGTTTTCAGACATGAGATTGGTACAGCAAGATTTGGACAAGTAGCAGCAAGGTAATCGAGGATAGTGTCACAAACATGTGAATGTGGATGAACCAAAATGAACTAGAAACCCCATGGCAAGTGACATCTGCTTTCTCTGAGGATAGCGTCACAAGCATTCCTTGGTTGCTTATCCACTTTTTCTCACTTTTTCTTGGTGCACTGAGCCAATAGGACTCATTACCGTCAGTCTTGCACCCAAACAAGTGGCTGGATGTAAAATGGGCACATGGATCTGCATCATGCTGCCTTCATGCCTCCCATGACGGTTGAAAAACTGCATGGCTGACTGCAGCAGCTGCAAAACTTCATGATACTTCATGACTACACTTCCTTGATCCGTGCACTTCTTCGATCAGTTCAGCCCCAACAAACCTCGAACGCACCCTTCACCAGTCGCGGTCTGCCGCAAGAGACGGACGGCAGACCACAGGTTGGGCCGGAAAGTCGGTGGATGCGAAAGCGAAGCACCGATGAAGACTGACCAAGAAATGAAGGTGATCAATGGCTTTTGTTGGTGTGTTGGATGTGGGAACATGTTCTCCGCATTGCTAGTCGACACCTCCTATCTGTGGCAGGATGTGCCATCCTGAATCGCCATCCTGACTCGAGGATCACAGTCCTTCAACGATGCGGTTTTTCTCAAGTGATGTCATTCGTCAACCACCTCAGCATTCTCGCAATCCGGCTTATGACCTGCGCCTTCAAAATGATCTCCGAACGGACATCCCAAAGCTCCCCAAAACCTAATACAGTTACATCATTAAATTACTAGGTTGACATCAGTTACACCATTAAATTAATAACCATATATATATATAGGTTAAACCAGTTACATCATGTTACATCATGAAATCTTAATAGGTTGACCACTCCCCATAAACTAGCACGGACCCTGAAAGTTGGTGGATCCAGGACCCTGCACTCCGGCGACAGCCGGTAGGGCCAGTGCTCAGTTTGAGGCACCATACAAGGCCGGCTGCACTGATCATAATCAAAGCAAATGTATACTGTATATCAAAAGAAACATCGAACCACTATAGCTTCCAACATAGGCATGGAAAACAAAGTCCTGCAAATTCCGAATCAGGTTTTTACTTTGGGCTGGGTGCTGCATTTCGAGTCCCTCACATTCTATTGCTGGACTCATGCCTCTGGCTAAGCGATCCCTTCTGACATCTTCATGACAACGGCTTTGCCGTCCGTGGTGAGAGACAGTTCTGCGTGTCGACAGATTGGCGGGGCTCAGCATCAGCTGCAAGTGACACTGAGTAGATGGAAGAATCGGGTGGTACATGGCACCCTGGAGATGCAACCATCTGCAATCCCGATGCTTCAAGCATATATCCCCCGTTGGGTTGGCATGAGCACAGGGGTCAGCTAGTCCAGCTCCCCTAGCTCCAAAGTCTCCAACAATAGCTTAACAGTAACATGGGCACCCTGGTGACGAACACAGGAACATACTAATCAATATGGCCTTCCATCAGGTTGACACAAACTGGAACTTAATGATTTGTTTTTATTATGATTTGTTGGGTCTATCCCATTACCTGTAACAGTGGATAATGATGGTTAGTAAAGGCCTTGTCCAAAAATAGTGATAATTGTTTGCTGACTGTTACAGGCAAGTGAGGACAAACCCCCAATGAGTTGTTCTTGGATCCATTTCAATCCACTCATAACTCAATCCATGTCAACTCTGCAAAACGCTCGCTCCTGGAACGGAGACTCCTCAGGTCAACTCCGAGTCCCGGCCATTCTGCGAAACTCAAACAGCACAAGCAGTGCCGACAGGTCGATCCTCCAAGAACTCGAGGACCGAGCTCATCCTGAACCGGTCACCGGAGTCCACCGGAGTCACATGTTTGGTTCTTGTGGTGTTCGATCTCCAAAAAGGTGAAAGAGTGGAAGTCTGTCAAACTTGGCGACTTGGCGGGCAAATGGGCGTTGGTATGTTCGTGTTTTGTGACACCTGGACCAGCTGCTTCTCAAAATCTCCAAGGTCAAGACAATTTCGGGATTGAATGAGTGAATTCTCCCCCGGCTCCGGATCTGACGGAGACCATCGGAGACATTCCGAGACCCATATTTTGGGAAGGTTTTTGGCAGGCGGACTTCGGCCGAGAGGGCTCCTTCCGATGGTTCCCAAATGCTTTGTAATGGTATCATATAAAAAATGGCTTGAAACACTGTTGAACAAAATGGTTGCATCAGTGCATGCCTTGCATGGCTCAGATTTATGAAGAAATGGCACTCCAAGAAGCGCACCAAGCACACACACACAAAATATAATATATATATATATATATAGACCCGTTTAGAGCACCGAAACACGGACTGCCGTTCATCCGAACGTTGGTCTGCAAGAAACGAAGCAAACCTGGAGGAACATGTTCGACCTGCTCATCTTCTCCGCCGTCATCCATCGACCCCGTCGATCCCGGCCACCCTCTGTTGAGAACATGCTACGCCCCGTTCTGTAGCACAGTGAATGGAGACTAGATGGCACAAGTTACCCCAAACAGGTTATTTATATGGACCCTCATCTAAAAATACATTTGGTGGGTTGTGCCATCTACTCTGAAACCACTGTGATTGCCAAAGTCACATGTATCTAGGTGAGACAAGTGCCCTGTTGAATTAAAGGGTGGAGCAAACATCACCAGTTTGTAGAGGAACATGGTCATCCAAGGAACCATTTCCAAGATCATTTCAGGGAGCCGAAAGTTCAATGGGCGTCCAAAGTTCAAGGCCAACTTTCGACTGGTCCCGCCTAGACGGACATCATGTGATCATATGTGATCAAAAAAAGGAAAGTTCATAAATCTGAAAAAAGTGGTACGGTATGGGTGGTGTAAGGTCTGCAAAATCAATTATTAGTTTGGTTCTGCGGCGACCATTTAAACACTCTCCAGAGTTCAGTGTCGCCGCCCAAAAGGTTTCCGAAACACTGACCGCTGGGTTCGAGCAGCTGCTTCTTGATGGAGGAAATGGAATTGGCCAAATGTTTGATGACCTGCGAACTCACAGCAGCACAACAACAACTGCACAATAAAGCGCAAATCCACCACAACCCCATTTGTTTGGGCTTTGCTTCCGGATTTGCATCTGTTTCCCACATGGTTGGTGCTGGCTCACAGCTCCACTGTCCCGCATGGTTTTTCGACCTTCGGGCTAATCATCACAGGGCCTGAAATGATCATGGAAGTGAATGGCAACACCTGTTTGTATAGAGACATTATCATCCAAGGGGCCATGCCACCCACTTCCATGAATATTTCAGGGAGTGCAATCAAAAAATTATAATGACAAAAGCCTCCAACACTTGGCCGGTACCGGTTTTTCTAACTCCGATATTTTAATTTATTTGTCCTTGGATCGTCGCTATAAACCTCCTTTTATTACCCCCTGCCGGGGTACCCGAGAAAAACATTCCATGTCGCCCAAACACCTTGCTGGTATGTGGATGTCATGTCGTTTGCCCAGGAAGCGACGTGACATGTCGGCAAACTGCATCACAGTTGTTTGCTTCCAGGCCCTTGCCATCAACTGGTGATGGGACCTACTCAGCATATCAGGATCAGTCCCAATATGGTTTGCGAATGTTTGCGATTTGCAGGGGCAAAGACCGAGTCTGACCAATGGTATGCGTCCTGCAACTTTTCAGGGACCTTCCAATACCCCGGCGCCTGGCGAGTCACTCGGTTCTCGTGGCTCATCTGTGCAAGCTGCAAGCTTTTGGCTGGACCATGCAGCTGCATGCAGCCCGAGACAAACTCTTCAAGGTCAATCATACCACCTGATCAAAAAAAACTTTGCCGGTGACAAGTTCAGTCTCTAATGTCGAACTGGCACAACTGACGGTGCTGTCACGTTGGGCCCGTAAAAAGAGATCTGCCGTCTCAACCGATTTGTGCCTTTCGGGTGAATTTCTTATATTGCTGTTGACTTGTGTAGGTCCGTCTGAACCGCCCAGACTGACAAGGGAAGGGCCGGGCGTTCAAAGAGAAATTACTTTACTTTGAGTGATCCCCACCCTGAAAGGTGACTTGGAAGAAGGCAGGGGCGCATGCATTGACAAACTAAGCCGGCAAAGGCGGACATGCGGATTGACACAATGTTCTGCCGCTTGTTCTGGCATCAAGTCTGGTGTGTGCTCTGGCACATCATCTATCACAACGATTGGGAAATGTTCTGGACAGTGTTCTGACGTCCTTGTTGGGGTGTGTGCTGACATTTTTCCTCCACTTGCTGTGGGGGCCCTGGAGTGCCCACTGCCACCTGGAGCTTGCTGTTGAGGCCAGTGCCCACTGGGATCTAGCGCTTGCTGTTGATGCCGGCAGTGTCCACTGCACACTGCGATCTGACGCTTGCTGTTGAGGCCTGGGAGTGCCCGCTGTGGCTGTTGAGCTCCGGGAGTGCCCACTGCGATCTAGCTGGCAGTTGGGGCGAGGAGGAGAAGGAGGCCTGACAGGTGGGGAAAAGGGATCAAAACAATGTCCAACGGAAAGAAGAAAAAGAAGCGAGCAAAAGAACAACAAAGAGCGGCAGTGCGACAAAAGATCAGGCAAGCCCTCCGCAAAGCAAACCAAAACACAAAATTAGGAAAGGTGGGCCCTTTCGCTCACCGGAGGAGAATAAAAAAGATGTTTGCAACAAATTCACCAAAGAGACATATACTTCGACGAGGGCATGCAATACTTATTTGGTGTGGAGATGCGATGGGTGACCTTCAAATAACTATTTCCATGGCAGGCGTAGTGCAGATTTCGTGACGCTGGAGGCGGGGTGGGGGGCGCAGCGCCTCCCCCAGAGCGAAGCAAACATCTAAAGAAGGCACTGAAGGCACCACAAAATAGACCAACATCGAAAACTACACACCCCATTGCGCCATCCATGAAAGGCATCCAAGAGGTTTCGTGGTAAACACAGTGCATTGGAAAAAGTGCTGCAGATGTTATGCGCTTGGACGGGGGTTGGGGGAAGGGCAGCGCCTCCCCCTCACAGCGGATAAAATGTCATAAGCCACCAAGAACTTAGAAGGTACATTATCATTGCTCCACTGCCACATGAATGAGTCGGGCACCGGACCAAAGAAGACACAAGGACCAAGGCAACCGGGAAGAGCGGCCGGCACCCTCTTCCATGGCAAGACAAGCTATGGAACCCTTTTTGGCAGAGTTCGTGCCACATTCGCAGATATTTTTTGACCAATGGACCATGAGGCCAGTGGACCAGGAAAAGGACCAGGGGACCAATGGACAAGTGGACTAGACTAGGGGACCTACTGGATCTTGTCACTTGTTGGTCCTGTTGTTACTATTATTTGTTGAATCTTGTTCTTATCTGTTGATACTGTTTTTGGTTGCTAGTTTTGTGCTGATCTAAAAGCCAGAAGTATCAAGAATCCAAACATTCATTCAATCAAATCATGCAAACTAAAAGCCACCACATACATTTCTGCGACGTAACATAGATCGTGGAGAAACAAAGCAGGCCCAAAATTCATGGAAGAACTTCATTATATATATATATATTATACACGCACAGCTCTACAGCAGCACACTGTTTCCTGAACATGCTCTCGAGGTGGATGATGCACCGCACCAAAAAGCTATCAAATACAGCCACCCCTACAAGACTTTGATTGAACAAACCACCGGACTGAAGACAAACAACGTACAGTTTCCCCGTGTTTCTGTGCATTTCATAACCACAGTGGCTGTTAGCTCACGCCCTAAGCAAAGAGTTGGCATTATCCACACGGCTTTGCAATCGGGGTTTGAGACAACATCATCCAAGTCTGTCAGTGACAGTGAAGAACCCATGTATATATATATATATATCATGTAGTTGATTCTTTTTGACACCTCCAGTCTTGCTTTCAGTCCAGGGCGCTCTTGTCCGTATCGATAATCATGAAAAGGGTGCTGACATCCTGGGTGGAAATGCCTCAATTCCAGTCTCAAACAGGCGGATTGTATGAGGCATCCGGGCAACATGTGTAGTGCAAGCATCGGTGCCACGGGCAACGATTATATATATAATGAATAGATGTATTAATTCATTCATATTAATGCATTCATTCAGTGAGTCAGTCATTCAAATCCACATATCATAGAGGATGCCGACCGCGGAGCCAAATACGACTCCTGCGACTCCTCTACACCTTGGCCCTGGCAAGCTATATCTCTATATGTATATCCTGAATCTTGAGATATCTTGAGCATATCCCATGACCCACAACTCACAGTGGATGATGATGATTAGTAAAGGCCTTACTCAAAAGATCGTGAACATCTTTTCCCGACTGCTTCTGGCCATTGGGCTTTTCCCGACTGCGGCGACGCCAGAACCCCCCAGTCTCGGAGACGCAAGCCGTCCGCGCCGTCTGACTGACTCTGCAGAGCTGAGCGACCCATGGACTCCATGAAGCTCGACAACTTCTTGGCTGACAAAGCTTCCTTCAGCTCTGCCAGAGTCACATGCATCGATTTGTCGTGATCAATCTCTTTGAAGATATGCCGCAAGGCCTGCCGCACCGAAGTCCAACCGACGAGATCTCGCCAGGAGGTGCCAGATCACGTGCCTACAGAGGGTGCTTTTCGTGGTTTTCTGAGGGAAAAGTGCTCCCGTGCGGGAGAACGAGCGCCAGCATGGATTTTCCGGAGAAAGGGCGTTGCAAATTATATATAATCAATCCCTAGAGCGGCCGTTCATTTCAAGCTTGGCTTTCAAGTAGGACATAGCTGAAAGCATTGCATGCTTGCAGTCACACTCAAAAGCCCCAACATCCGAGACATTCTGGCAAACCTCAACATCTTTCGACGTTTGCGATCGACACGACCAAGCCCCAGAGACCCACCGTTGGGGTCGTTTGGTCCAAATCCATGCACCGCTTTCAATCGCGGTGGCGCCTGAACCTGAGCATCATGCTTGCGCATTTGCTTCATAATGGCGATGTCCTTGTCGGACTGGGCGCTTTCAATCGCGGTGTTGCCTGGCCGCCAAGCGGTGTTGTACATGCAAGTTGTGGTCACATGTGTTCACGGATGAACAGCATGACTTGAAGTGTGGACTTTAAAATTCCTATGACCGTCACTCGGATCAACAGCTTCCAAAGATTGCACTTGCAAGAGAACTCATCAGCAAAATCAACTACATATCCCTATCAAATCAACTTCCCTAGTCAAAGGCTGCAGTAACCATCCAAACTGACAACACCCACATCCACTCGGTTGGTTGCTGGAACGGTAAGCTAGCAGCTAGCATTGTCCGGCACGTCTGAACCCACCAAATCGTCAAAAAAATGAAAGCGTTCTGAGCAAATGCCAAGGTTCAGAAAACTCCTGTGACCACCTGAGCTGGTGTGTTTTGTTCAAATGGGCCAACAAAAGACCTGCTCGGGATGAATGCTTTTGTTGTATGTTTTGCTCACACTCTGCCAGAGGTTGGCCATGGTTGGCCGTGTCACAACGCTATAACTATGTTGTTTCCATACCTCTCCTCAAATGTAGCCTGCTACTCAAGAAACAAACTTCCCTTGATTGCTGGAGTGCCCTAAGCCATAAATCAGGCTTAGGGCGAATCCACCGAACAGCTCGGCTATATAAGTGTTCTTATGTGTTCTTGAAAATGACTGTTTCCCATCGGCGAATCTCTTTTTTCCCTCGTGCTCATCCATCGACTCGTGGGAAACAAAGGTGAGACCTCTGAAGAAAGCACGTGGGTGTTCTCCGCCCAACAAGCAAACCAGAAACGAGCAAAACAAAGAGAGAGAGAGAGAGAGAGAGAAAGTCACAAGAAAACCCCTGGGTGGCCGGTGGCCGTTGCCCCATCTGTTGCATTCTAGGCTCTGTCGGACCAAACACTCCGTGATCTGGCGGACCAGAACTGGGATGCTCCGACAGAATTCACCTACGATCAATACCATTTCACGTTGCCAAACGTTGAGGCCTGTCTAAGGCATGCTGCAAAGCAGTAGGCAAATCATTACGCTTATAAGCTATACATGACTATTTCCATCTTTTTGTATATCAAACAACTTGGATGTGCCCTTCATCCAAATGGATGAGACAAACCAAGCAGTCATACGCTTTGGTCGATGTATATATATATATAGATCTCCAAATAGATAATGGCACGGATTCCAAAACATTTGGAACGGGATTTTACTTGTTCTATACTTGTTCTAATATGTTCTATATGTCTATATAATATATTGTGATTCTATTTCGGGGGTGAAAAAACGTCCCAAAATCGGAGGCGTCCCTCCGAACCGTGAGGTTCTTATCATCCAGATCGTCACCGGACTCAAAAGGCCAAGCATCATTTAACACCGCGAAGACGGTCACGATGATATACCTGGTCTCAAGAGACGTTGGTCATGTTTAAGCAATGCCCATTCCTTGGGTCTATCCGTTACCTGTGACAGTGGATGATGATTTTATTGGTAAAGGCCGGCAGTTCAAACATAGCAATTCTTGTTTACTGACTGTTACAGGTAATAGGACAAACCCAATCCATTGATGTTCTCGTCGTTGGCTCTTCACATGACCAGGAATCAACACAAGCCAAATAGCAACTCGGGCCATTGCTCTTGTTGTCCTTCTTGCAACGGATCAACTATGATCAATCATGATACATTCAAGTGATCTGATCAAGAATGAAACACCAGCAGCATCTGTTTGTATAAAGCTTAAGCTAGGGCTGCCCCGGTCAGGTAGTGGCAATCAAACTCTGATATGCCCAAGGTGACTTGGTACCTACAGTCAAACCAGGTAGATGGTACAATCAAATCGCTATGTCACCCTGTGAAGATATGGTAGTCCATGTAGCGGGGTATGACCGAGTTCATAATTCACCACAAGCAATGGGAAAATGACAATGACCAAAAGAAACAACCTTGGTTTGTACCATGCTGATGGCGAATGCCAGGCTCAGCTGTGGCAATGTCAACCTTAGTGCTTTTTGTCTCACGGATGCGTGTGCGAGGTTCAAGTAATGCACAAACCTGTTACAGATCTGCAAATGATGGTCCATGTACACCAACTACGCGAACACTCATCCAAAAAGGATCTTGACCAATTGGGACAAAATCTCCGTAATGCAAAAGTCCTGAAGCAAAGACTTACAACCTGATCAGTGGCAAACAAGAACTTTTAAACATATACCACCCATTACCGTCCCCTTTGTTCATCCTCCCAACTTGGAGGGTCAGCTGACAGCTGCTGGCATCAAAAATGACTCGCTTGGAGATTAGAAATGTGGAAGGACTGGAATTTCCCTTGCTCTCCAGGTTTCAGCTATCATGCAAAAGAGCGAATGCAGAAAAGAAAGTCAAATGTGCAAAGCTTGCTCAGCCAATCGCGCTCGCCCAACTCAGCTGCTTGGCTTAGGCCAATACATGGTTCAATAAGCATAGCAACCAAACCATCTTCATTCAACCTTCTACAACTCGACGTTCTTCGGACAAAGCTCCTTATACTGTCACTGTCACATACTGTCTGAGCCTTTGCTATTGGATGGTGCCCGACCATGGGCTTCAGAGGCAATTTAAAATGACACCGGCTCGGCACGGTCGGCTTGCACGCCCAGATGCAGCACCAAAAGGACAACCGCCAAAGGTGAAAAACGAAGTGGTCGAAAGGCATCATCCCAACCTCATCAGTGTAGCAAAGCCAGAAAACACACACTAATCTGAGTGATGTGCAAATTCAGCACGAAGTTCAAGTTGAATTGCAAAGCTGCGATGGTAAAGGCCATTCAGGACTTTGGAGATGAACAATCCTAGAACCACTTCAGCAAGTAAAGATTGATTGCTGGGAAGGGCAGGACTTTGGCGATCGTGAGACGACAACTCCGAACAGTAGATGTCACAAACCACAATGAAGCATCAGGAAACCTAGCTAGTTGATCCCCAGTGAGTGATTCCGCGGACACTTTTCCTTCACTGAGTCGCTCAAACCACCAGTGATGGCCAAGAAAAGCGTGCAAACGCTCTCCTGGAGAAAAGGCGTTCTCGCAAGCGAGGGCCAGAAAAGATAGAAAAGGGGTGGGGACTATGAGGACAAATGCCAACAAAAATGTCGTCCTGCTGGGGACCGCGGTCGACGGTCTCTCGTACCCCGGTCTGATTTAATTGATTGAGACAGGTGAAAAAATAGAAAAATAGGAAAACACATTGACATTCTTTCCTTCCCTGGTATGAGGGCTAAGTACGTAGTACTGATAAACTGCCCTCAAACGGCTTAAGAGGTTTAAGAGCTTCGGCATCCCTTGGTAGGGGCGGCGGTTGCTGCAAGCCAACACCTGCAGGAAGCTAATCCCGAGCACCCATGAATCAACAGTACCCAATTGAAAACTAGTTGACGTTGAACTCTTTAAGTTACACCCTGTCCTCATTTTGAGGAGGTTTTCTCAGGATTTCTCAGGTACCCACTCACTAGAATCACCCAGTCATGCTCACCAGTGACGTGCCACAAAAAAATACACACATGTGTCTCGTTCCCCAATGGCACGGAGCCACACGAATGCACGTTCTACCAAGGCCTTGGCACTCCGCATGGTACGGCGACATCAACTTTTGAAATCTTTTGGCTGTTTGGGTGCTATTGAATGTCGGAGAATCCAAATTTCAGTTCAGATTTACAAGCAGCAAAAGGGGAAACAAAAACGTTAGAACAGCATTCGAATTGAACGTTTGTACAGTTTTTGGATACGGATTTTTCAAAAGGATGTTATGATTATGCAAACTTGTCCCACACAATTTTTCAACCTTTTGGGGCTATCCCATATAGAGGGTGATGGAAATGCGCTGGAAGTCGTGATACCTTGGGGTATGTGCTAGCATGTCGGAATACCTTTCGACACGAGCTCGGCAAAAGGGATGCGGTGGCTATGCCCGGCGAGCGGATGGCAGAATTTCTTGCTGGAGCAAATGCTCGGAGGATACATGAGGATAAGCTGGCGCACTGCATATGAGCTGGATGCGGTAGTGTCATGTAATATCCTGCTGTGGGGAGGTCGCAGGAGAGGGAATGTCATGCCCACGATTGACGGGCGGAGCGCGGAATACCGTGCAAAAGAAGGCGCTGGGAGAATGATGTTCATGGTTGCATGTTGTTAGTGCCTTGCGGCATGGGCACGTGGAAGGCCGAGGTGGTCTAAATGATTCGGGTATGCTGCGGTGATTTCACAATGTCCGATTGCGGGGAACGGAGGACCAGGTGTTCTGCGGTTTGAGAACTGGAAGGCCTTCCACATGGTCAATTGATTGTTAATTATTTGACTGAGTGGAAGGCCCCCCACGTGGCCCACATTCAGATTGTTTCGCCATTGATCACCGCTCACACCATTGGCAGTGAGAGATAGCACACTGAAAGGTTGTTGTAATGCATGTTGATTCCAACGTTTCCACTCTCTCACTCTCTTTCTGCTTCATGATTCAACTTGGACTCACCACATATTAGAGTCCTCCGGCTTGGTTACC